CCCTCAGTTTGCAGTCAGGTTGCAACAATTTTCGGCATTACAGGAACATGAAGGTGTGCAAATTTGCTTTGCTTTGCTTCATTTGCATGCAGTATATTTGCATTTGGTTTGACAATCACATGCAATTAATTCCATACAGGATGTAGGCACTGCAGGTAGAGTAATCAACATCCCCTAAGCCCTTTTTCACTAGATCTTCATTCTCCTGCCTTTTCCACACCACCAAGAAGGTCTGGCGCAGAAAACAAATGACAGAAAAATTCTTCTACTGGTTGTAGGGTGCCATCACGAGCTATGTCATTCAGGATGTTGGTTGAATACCTCCAGCATGTCTTCTTGCCAAATCCTATAATAGAGGAAGTAGAGACAGATCCAGTCATAGCATGGAAAGAAAGGTTTTTTTCTTACAACATGTGACAGCTTTCGAGATATGTTATGTATTGGATAGCAATGCCTTGCGTGAGCATTCCCTCCAATAATCCACACATACTTATCCATTTCCAAAAAAGAAGAAGATTTTTGATTTTTAACATAAACTTTAATGCACCTTGTAGACAGTTTACACATAAAATATTACATTACACTTTTTATTACAACAAGTAGAGACCAGCTCTTTATATTAAATACTGTAACTCAGTGTCATTTACTTTACATAAAACTTCGTTATGGCACCAACATTTCTGAAATAGATTCAATTTATTTAAAAACTTGGAGTACTAAAATTCAATTAAAATACGTTTTTTAATTCTACTACGGATATGTCAGATAGTTCAGCACGAGCAAGGCTATTAAAACTATTAAAATGTGTTGTGTGGATAACAATTTTAGCAGTTGTGAAAATATAATTAATTAACTGCTGAGATACTTTATAACCCTTTTTAGGGGGTGGTCCCAAAATAAACCACAACAAAGGAATAATATCACTCTCAGACAAGCGTTTTGAAAGATCAATCACAATCTTTAAAACCGAGTCAAGACGTGGACATTCAAGAAATAAGTGA